CTGCTGGGAGAATTTGGAATTGGCAGTTCAGATGAAAATGGGAAAGTATTGGACCTGTTGAGCGAACTTAAGGAAATGACCCAAAAGAAGGATCTGGAGCTCCGAAGGTATTTCAGAAAATATTTTAAGAAAAAGATAGCGCCTCATCAGGCAGAGATGGGCTGTCGATGGTTGCACTGTCCAGAGAGTGGGTAGCTCTGGCATTTGCAGAGGCCGAGGGTGCCAGAGCCCAGGCAAGGCAGGAACTAGGGAATGGGCAGAAAGTCTTCAGCCCAGCTGAAACCCTGTGTGAGTTGTCCAACAGCCAAAATAGAAATCGGCGATAGTGTCATCCCTCGTTTTCTGCTTCAGAGCCACACGGCACTTTCGGTGTCTTTGGATCGGTCTGTTCACATTTTCAGTGTTTTCTAGGGTAAGGGCTTGGGGCAGTCTTTTCGGAACCTCTTAATGAAGTATACATACATACAGAAAAGGTGCAGATTGTAGCGGTGCAGCTTGGTGGATTTCACCGATGTGTGCCCGATGTGTGCCCGCGTGGAACCAGCCTCGGGTCCAGCACAGCCCGCAGCCAGCACCCGGAGCCACCCTGGCTTCCTTCTCTGACTCTCCTCCATGAGGTTTCTAACCAGGGCACTTTCCTCCACATCTTCGCAAAGAATCTTGTTTTCTCCTTTACAATGCTCAACATACTTTCCGAGATGCCTAAAATATTTGAAAGGTGCTCATGGGAAACAGCTGCCACCCACTGTGGCATTTCCTCCTCTGTGCACCTCGGGTGAACCAGGACTCACCGAAGGAATCTGGATTGCAGGGGTCACAGGTTCAGGTGGTTAAACATGCTCGTTTAGTACCTGTTCCCCTCCGCTGTTAATGTCATGAGAGGGCTGGATGTTGTCCCATTCATAGCTCTGTCACCTGTTCCTAACACGGCATGGATGGTCCCTAAATATTTCCTGAACAAATGAATCTTTCCTTTCACGCTGCCTGGTCCTGTTCTTGGGGGCCTCCCTTTTTGTTCCTTCCCACCAGCACTTGGGAGGAGTCGGCCTGAGCCCGCAGCCTTCCTGCTGCTGCTGCACAGTCACGCGCACTTTGGCTTTGTCTGGCCCTCAGGCGCAGAGCGAAAGTTGTCTTCTGTCCTGTCTTTTCTGCAGGAGCTTTGTCCAGGTGCTGGAACTCTCTGCCGGGGCGAGTAAAGAGGCAGCCTTAATTAACCAGGATGTGTGGGAAGAGGCCCGGGGCTCTGCGGCTTCCCGCCAGTGGTATTTCAATGAGGAGGGCGCCTGCGGGGAAGTTCAGGGAGTGGCCAGCAGCCCACTCGTCTCAGGTGCTGTCAAGCCACACGCTCTGTGAGTTCGTACACAGGCTGTGTCCTCAACCCAAGTGGATGCCTTCCTGCAAACCTTCAAGAAGAAAGCACATCCTGTGCCATTTGTCCAGGGCTCATCTGTGTCACAGAGGCACGGATGTGATATTCTAGAAACTCAAGCACTTTAGTCACTTAGTTCCACAGTATATCTGTTTTTGTATGATAATCTTATTTGATATTTAAAAAATAAAACTGTTTGGCAGTTGAGTCTTGGTTTCTGCATAAGGGGGGAGCAGAAGGCACATGTTTTCTCACGTTCTTCTAAACAGCTGGTTCTGAGCCTTGGGACCTCTGAGACATGAGTATTTCGCTTTCAGGGTGATTCCTGTCCTTCAGTCACTAGGCTGTTCTGTTCTGTTTAATATCTGACAGCAAGTTATGAGTTGGTCCTCAAATGGAAATTCTCCTGTCCCACTAGTAGTCACTGGGAGGCACCTGCGGACTTGCCCCATAGCTTCAGTCTACACTCCACATTGGACCATGCCGCAGATAGGTTGCCCAGGCAGCTCGCCAGCTTCTGTCTACACCGTGTAGGCGCCAGCAATCCCAGGACGTGCCTCCGTTGATGTTGACTGGTTCCTGTGGATGGCACTTTCTGCGTTACGACACCAGGGAGGGGAAGAGCCCCTGATGAGATGCAGTATCCAGGCTCATGCATTTCGGGAAGAGAGATGCAGCCACTTGATCTGAATCCTGTTCAAACAGGCATGCTTTTATCCACCTTCTTTAACCTAACTCGGGCCTCCTGGAAACTTCGTCAGGTTTTAGATATACAGTTGCAGGTAGGGGAAGCAGTACCTGGTTAGACACAATAGCCATTCCCACCACACATGCAGGCCAAGGAGACATGAACGCTTGCGATCAGGCCAGTTTAAACCTGCAGTTTCCATTCACACAACCCACCTTTCATTTCTGTGGTCTCCTAAGTCCACTGAAGCCCATCTCATTAGGGATTCCCATTGAGCTCCTGTTTCAGAGTCCCAGAAACTTCTCTTCTCTACCCCCTGACCTGTTTTCCCCCCGATTTGTGTGCAGAAAGCTTTGGTTCCACAGGAGGGGACACTCCAGGTACCCTGGTCCTTTTGTCAGTGGTTGTCTTCATTAATTAGCCTAGTTAGTGCCCAAAGTGATTCCAGGTCAGGCTTTTCATTGTAATCTCTGCCTTCTAGCATTTAAAAATTCCCCGAACTCTGGGGTAAAGGCAGCAGATTTGTTTGGGGTCCTTGAGTGTTCATGGGCCAGTGGGGGTCCCTTACCCCAGCACACTCCCATAGACCTTTGCTTCAACCCTGTCAAAATGATCAATGAGTGCTGCATGCTTCAGTTAAGCAGGGGCTCCAGGTGCTGCAGAATGAGCATGTGGTATGTCAAATATGCTGTCATGCTGGGACCAAACTTAAAACTGCTTAAGGAACAACTAACTATGCATTGTGAAAATCACCTGGAAGGACTGCCACAATTTTTTAAATGAAAACAGGTCAAAATAATGGGTACAGAACAATTGGTGTTAAAATTTCTAAAATCCTGGAAAGATAAGAATGTGCTGAGAGAAGCTGTCTCCAGGTTGGGTGGTGGGGGTGAGGTGGGGGGAGGGTGCTTGCTTGTTGCTTTCACATTCTTTTAACATTTTAGTCAAATATTTTCTCATCTGCGTACATCATGTTTTCACTAAGAAATCTATACAGTGGAACTCAAGCAGGCAGGCTAAATAGCCATGCTCATGTTTAAGTTGTGGTGTCTCAGCCTTGGCGTTGATGTTTGGAGCCAGGTCGTTCTTTGCGGTTGGGGCTGTCCTGTGCATTGAGGGATGCTGAGCTGCATCCCTGGCCTCCACCCACCAGGTGCCAGTAGCAGCCCCCAACCAAAGATGTGCGTGGACATTGCCCGGTGACCCTGGGGGTTAGAATCACCCTGTGTGAGAACCCCTAGGATGCTTCAGTCCCATTCTCTGGTCTCCACCTCAGCAACACCATTTTTTGCAGTTTCATTCATTGACCTCAACCTGATTTCTGAAGAAAAGACCAGAAGGCACCTCTGTGTGACAGCTTCTCAACCATGACTGGGCTGAGAGCACAAATTCTGACAAAGATAAGAACCAGAGTTGGCAAACTACAGACCTTGAGCCAAATCTGACCTGCTTCTTGTGTGTATAGTTGTATTGGCATACAGCCATACCCGTTTGTGTACACTGCATTCATGCTGCCAGTGGCGGAGTTGAGGCTTTGGAGACCGTCTGTCTCGCAACGCCTAAGATCCTTACCATCTGGTTCGGAAGAGGTTTGCTGACCCTTGATTTGGTAAAGTAAAGTAGAAAATCTAACTTGTAAAAGAACATATTTAATATTTTCCTATGGGACTCAAAGCTGTCGCCATTTTGAACAAAGTGGTGAGGGCTGAGAAACAGTTTTGCTTTTTGTGAATTGCTGTCATGCAGAAGGAGAGCGTCCCACTCTTGCTGGAGAGGCAGGCACGTGAGGCATTGGACGAAGAGCTACCCTGGGAGAAGCCTCCATAGACTTCTAGAATGATCATGCTGACTAGAACTGAACACCAATTATGCCAACAGCAATGGTATATGAGTGGCAGATCTTGAGGGAGCTTCCCTCTCCTGGTCTACATTTTCCATTTTTTATAGTGAACACGTCACATCCACAATCAGAAAAACTACAGTTTCATATCATTTTGGTGACTGTTTCTAAAAGGAGGTATTGGGGTTGGGCATCACAGCAGATGGGAGATAAGATGCAACCAAGGCAGTGCTCGCATTCTCTCAGAATGGGTGGGCGAACCGATGCCGAGAAAACCGATGCCAAGGCAATGCCATCACGGTGATGCGGCTCTTCTCTGGAACATGGGGAAAGAAGTGACTGGCTCTGTGGGGAGGTGTCATTCCCTGACTTCCCCAGTGTCCTCCCCACTGACACCACCTATTGCACCCCAAATCTGCCATCACACCAAAACTTCACCAGCTCCTCTGACTCTTC